GCTGTCCTACCGAGAGAAGCCCCTAATAGAATGAATATACACCAGATTTGCCGTCACTGTCTCATGCCTTCTCGCCGTTGAAACGACAATACTCACTCATGCTAGAGTGCACAGTTCCGACCCCGGTTGATTCGCCGACGCGTAATCTTCAGTCAAGATGCTGTCCATGATACTCCGTTCCCATACGACATGGGAATTGGCAAATCGGCAGGCGGAATATAAAAGTGCACGCTGTTTATTTAAGTAGCGCAGATGCCAAGCTATGAGAGCCTTGCCTCACTCAACATCATGGCCTAAAGGGAGAGGCTTCTAGCAGCTGCAAGGTCCTCCTGCCTGTGTATCTCGGCCCTCGGCTGGTCCTAGGCTGACGCCACCTGGTCGTTGGCCGGGCCTCGTTTGACGGGGGCCGACTTGATCCAGGGGAAGCTTCTTTGCGATCGCAGTGAACAACTCCTGTACGTTTTCCGCTGTCTTGGCGGACGTTTCGAAAAACAATAAACCGGCTTCGTTCGCGTAGGCTTCCGCTTCTGCTGTCGGGACTGCGCGCTTGTCGGGCTGTTCATTGACCAGATCCAGCTTATTTCCAGCAAGCGCGATGATGATATTCTCATTCGCTTGCCTTTGCAACTCCTTCACCCATGCCTTGGCTTTGTCCAAAGATGTCTGTGACCCCAGTAATCAGTAGAGCCATGCCATTCACGTAGCCGTCAAACGTACCGATTGCGTAATATCATAGACAACTACAGCACAGTTGGCATTCCGATAGTACATAGGTGCCAATGACTTATATCTCTCCTGGCCGGCGGTGTCCCAAATTTCGAACTTGACGGTAGTGTTTTCGTCGAGAGATATAGTTTGTGTCAGAAAAGCCGCGCCGATGGTTGATTCTCTGTATGAGTCAAATTGATCCTGCACCACGATAAGTAACTGAACGCCGCGACTTATCATTGAATGAGTGCATGGGGGCAAGTACCTTAACGAATCGCAGCACTATCGAGCTCTGATATGTATAAGTCAGCTTCGTCCATAATCCAGGTGCTTCGCGTCATTATTGTGTCCGTTACCTTTCCCACGGCGGACTCTCCTGGGCGTGTGTCAGTGTTGATTGGAAGCTACCCAGGGAACGGGCGACAAGCATACCCAGCAAAACCAATTTAAATTGTGCGAAACGAGTGTTCATGCCGCGACCAGCAGTGGGCCCTGCCCGAGAAGCCATTGTGAGATTGTTTGTGGTGGGGATAGGCGGTAGAGCGCTGGTGCTTGGTAGGCGGTTGTGACGGATCGAAGCAAAGGCGACCGGTTGATGGGGGGGGGGGGGGGGGGTACGGCGTGGATTCTTTTAATGGGGAGAGCTTGGTAGAGACGTCGATAGGAGGAGAAATACAGTGGTCTAGCTGTACGAAGATGAGGCGACAGGACGGGGAACTCGCGGGAGGATGTGATGGTGTTGTTGCAGTCGAAGCGAAATGGTGATGATGAGAGGATGCTGGGGGCTTTGGACACTGCCTGGAACTTTGATGAACGGGCTCGGAAGCTTGACGGATGGTTGGACTGTGTGGTGACTCGTGAGTGGCTGAGCGAGCCTGGGATTGCCCTGGGTCAGCAAAAGGTACGGCGCTGTTGTTGAGTTTTGTAGGCCTTGTTCCAGGTAGATCACAGTGGTCAGGTGCCGGCGTTTCTGCGACCAAAGTACATGTACCTACCAGATTATAAAACATTGAGTCCTGACTGCGGGCGGGATACATTAGGCGCCTGCTGGTCTACCCACTGTATGCTACTAAGGGGACTCTTGGTTACTTTTACTTGCATATACTGTAAGCAATACTGTGGGTATATCTGGATAGTAAGTGGAGTCGGGCATCTGCACTGTGTCCCCCTACCTTTTACGGACGTACCTAGGTCTCCATATTAATTACCCAAGACAAGGTTCATGCATGAGGTGGAAGCAGTGTGCTTTCTCTACATGCATATTATGCGAATAAACGTAATCATGTGCTGTTAGGTACCTTATAGCGAATTGGAACTTACGCAGACTAGGTACCTACTGGAATGGAAGGAACTGCATACCTAACTAGCTTAGGTACTTTTCTAGGCATCTGGGCAGCGGGTACAGCGGTAGCGGTACAGTGTTTTGTCTTCCCGCAGGTCACCCAGCGTGATGACAGAAGTAAACACACGTGCTTCAGGAGCTTGATTCAAACAGCTGTCAAACCTTCAGCAACCATTGCTTGCAACCGACACCAATCCTCCATCTTTCGTTACCGAACGCCTGATATCATCCCTGCCGACCGAATTAGCCCCATCTGTCGCTCTCGAAGTTATGAATGTGCACCTAGCGAAGCTGTCTAGTTCGCAATGACGCTTCCGTACCGGGACATAAATGTCCACGTTGCTGCCGACTCCTATACCTTCACCTCGCCCTCCTCGCCCAATGCCCCGGCTCTTGTCATCGATCGGCCAACGGGCGATGTTCGCCTAAGTGAGACTGCCTCTATCAAGAACAGACGCGTCGCTCGTGTCTCAAGTATAGCTGGTATTCTTGGTCTCGTTCGTCTGAGGCTAGGTAAAGAGGACACCCCCTTTGACATACTGACAGTTGAGACTGACCGGCTTGGGATAGACAAATATGCCATCATCATCACGAAAGCCCACCCCGTTGGTCGACTTAAGGGCCATATGGTGTACAAAGTAATTTCAACAGACTTCTTGCCGATGCGAGAACGTCAGATTCGGGACCCCGATGAAGACCAGTTTTTGTCCATTCTAAAATCCTTCATCATGACTGGTCCTATGTACTTCTCCTATTCACTCGACATTACCAACAGCTTCCAAAGACAAGCTGCCGTCGACGGCTCAACTCCTCTTTGGATGCGCGCCGACGATCGCTTCTTTTGGAATAGGTTTGTCCAGACAGATTTAATCGATTTTCGAAACCTGGGCAGTCGGGCCCATCCAGGCCCGCAGCCAGGCGCCGACCCTTTCATCCTGCCGCTAATATGGGGTACAATGGAAATACGGGCGACGAAGTTCAAGGGAACACCTTTAACTCTTGTCCTTATCACCAGGAAGTCGAGATATCGGGCCGGAACCAGATATTTTACCAGAGGTATTGATGAGGAAGGGCATGCTGCCAACTACAATGAAACTGAGCAGGTTGTCGTCCTGAATGATACGGGTGGCCTGGGCGGATACGCGGGAAGCACAGATATGCAAAGCGGCAAGTTCGGGGCGTCTGACGGACGGGACATGCAAATCATGTCTTATGTCCAAACTCGAGGAAGTGTTCCCGTCTACTGGGCTGAAATCAACGCTCTTAAGTATACCCCCAAGTTACAGATTCGCGGAATTGAAACTGCTCTCTCGGCCGCCAAGAAACACTTCGACGAGCAGATTCGCCTGTACGGCGACAATTACCTCGTCAACCTGGTCAATCAGACGGGCCGCGAGAAGCGCGTAAAGGAAGCCTACGAACAGATGGTAGATATGCTTCATACCTCTGGAACCGAGACGACCGACGCAGACCACCTTACGGATGAGAAATTCCGTGTTATCGAACCCAAGACTCTTAAACAAGAATTTGACCGCTTGCATTACGTCTACTTTGATTTTCACCACGAGACTAAGGGGCTTCAGATGCATCGCGCAATGCTCCTTGTTGAAAGGATGCAGGACGCACTAATAGCACAACAGTATTTCCGAGGCGTGGACATGCCGGCAAATGGTGGATTGGAGACAAGGAACTTTCAAACAAGTGTCGTACGGACAAACTGCATGGATTCACTTGACCGGACAAATGTAGTTCAAAGCATGCTTGCTCGGTGGACTATGGATCGCATCTTCGTGGACCTCGGCCTACTTCAACGAGGCGAGACTTTTGCCACGGCGGATCCAGCGTTTGAATTACTCTTCCGCAATTTGTGGGCAGACAATGCCGACACGGTATCCAAGGCATATGCCGGCACTGGCGCCATGAAGACTGATCTAACACGACTAGGAAATCGTACCAAACAAGGAACTTTTCAAGACGGCAAGATAGCTGTGACTCGCTACATACTGAATAATTTCCGAGATGGACCGCGCCAGGACGCCTATGACCTATTCCTGGGTGCCTATGAGCCGACAACGGCTAACATTGGCTCGTCGTCGATATTTGCCGATCGAAGACCGATCCTTATCCAGAGCATTCCCTACCTCCTTGCGTTCAGTATCTTTTTCGTTTTTATGGGCCTATTCACCAAACGTCTACCAGGCTCTACTGTACTGCCTATGCGTCTGTTCATCCTCTTTTGGCTGGCAGTGGCTGTTTGGTGTCTAAATTTCATCATCCAGAATGGCGTATTATATGTGAGTAACACACTAAGCATTGTTGCTAGGAGGCAGGTCAGGCTTGGATGGAGTGAGTGGATATGCTAATTCTAGCTATAGGTGAACTGGCCGAAGTTGAACCAACGGCCGTGGGCTATAGAGGGATACCAAGAGACGGTCGGAAAGATCAGGAAAGGAAAGATGATCGGCTCTCTCGTGGCGAGCCATGAGCGCGGACTCAGCACAGCGAGATATCTCAGTGCTGAAGAGGGAAAGAAGAGAATTGAGTAAGCCCCTGCTGGCTTACGAATCTTCGGACTATTTTTCTCTTGTATTTGGTGAACGCTTCGTAGCATGGATGCATCCGTCTTTGGGCTCTCCATCGACAATATAGAGGTTCTTCGTTTACTTTCTACCTATATATTTTAATAGAGGGTTATTAATTAGATATCACAAAGTTTCAAATGACAATTTTTATAGAAATAGTGATCGCTTTGAGTAGGTAGATTGTATGCACATTATAGGTATGTAGTGTACGTGCATTGGCTTGGATCTGATGGACCGACAAATCAGCGACTTAACGCAATGACCACGCCCGCCTAAAAAGAGAAAAGATGAATTCGAAATTAAAATTGAAATTGAAATCCCGCTAGCTCAAGATTTCACATTCACGCAAAAAATTTAAAAGTTTAGGACTCTCGATCGGGGAATCGAACCCCGGCCACCTGCGCCTTGCCAAGAGATGACTATTCATCATCCGGATGACAAGCAGGTATCCTAGCCACTAGACCAATCGAGATATGGGTCATTCAATGAACTCGGTTGGGTTTGCTGCCGGATAATTGAAATCATCACTCAGTCGTAGTACTCGTCTCTCGAAATATGACATCTTTGTAAACGAGCAACACAAAGACAATTAAGCGGAAGAATACCTACCTAATTGGATGCCTATGCGTAGGAATGATTAACTACGAGGTACCTATGGCCACGGTCGCCAGGTACCTAGCAGGCACAGTTTCCATTCTTGATCAGGAGCGTGATCTATGCTGTCCGATGCTCCGCCCGACCTGAAGAGGTATGATTAGGTAGTCTGGACATCCGATTTAACTGAGTCGCTAAATTGGCGAGGTGTGGCACGCAAAGTATCTGTTTGAGGATTGCCCCTTCGTACCTAGTATCTAAGGGAAAAGGAATGCGCTTGGTGGAAACAGGACGCCTATCAAGACACGCTGCCAATTCCGAGCTTTGTCGTAGTGTACCTAGCAAGCTACCCAGGTCTACCCAGGTAGGTGGGCGACTGGCATACCTCCCGTTGCCGTTCAGATGTTGGCCTCGAAACATAGATAATCTGTACCTAGGCAGGTATGCCGTGCGCCTCATCTGGTACATTGCTGTCCTCCCTATAAGCGCCTCACGGAGTTGAGGCTTGTAGATCCATGAGTGATGAACCAGAGTTCTGCCAGAGTTAGAATCCAATGTGCTTTGGCTTTGTTTCATGAGTTAGTTAGATGTCAGAACATGGCTATCAAGTCTGGCAGCGTAGGCCTACACTACATTGGCGATCAGTCAATCAAATGGGTCGGGAAAAGTTGCTGAAACGAATAATTAATTTCTATGATTCATGGGACCAATGCAGACCGGTAAGTCCAGCTTTCCAATGGAGATGAAGCTTGGGAAGGTGATGGATGGGTAGACCAAAATTTGAAAGAAAAGTTCAAAATAAAAGACTTTTTAAAAAGATCGACTAGGGCCTGATTCGAACAGACGCTCCCGAAGGAAGTAGATCACATCGGAATTCGCAGGGAATTCGATTCGAGTCTACCGCGTTAACCACTCCGCCACCTAGCCAGACACTATTGGGTTGCTGCGACTTGCTCCCAGCGGTGAGAACAAGGGCCCTTCCACCGGCTTATGATCAAAGGGCTTTGCGCACAGTCTGCGACATCATCAGGGCACTGTATTTACATACCCAAAGTAACCGAGCCAACCAGCGAGATACCTAGCGTGCGATATGGACCCGTTCACCAATCAGTTCCTCACAAATCATCCGGGCAAATGGTCTAGGGGTATGATACTCCCTTCGCATGTCTTGTCAGAAGCCGGTTAGAATTCTATCTAGCCATTACTGCCAGAAAAGATGCCTGGGAGGGGTCCGGGGTTCAATTCCCCGTTTGTCCAATTGTTGTGGTCTTGTGGTTGAGTATTTCTTTCTTTTTTGGCCCTTTCATCGAATTTTTTGAACCAAATAGCTACAGAAATGAGACGAGCATCTAAATCGCAGTTGTCGTCGTCGTCGCAGAGAAAGGACGGCCCCTTCTAGTCGGTCAACTAATGAGCAGCCAAAGCAGCAGACCGACCCTTGGGTGTTCCATAAAAGGCTCTGATGGTCTCCCCAAACGTTGCACTATATACCAATGCTTGACTGAGGAGACCAGATCGAAGGGTGTGCACGCATGGGAACTGAAGTTGCAACCTGATATCAACCTTTACACTGATACCAACCAGAAATTTATAAACCGTCACTCGAACGAACTCCTGTCGGCTAACAGTATGCGCGTCTGCGGCGCAAACTCAATGATCCGGTCTGTGGAGAGCATCCTGGCACAGGTTGTCGATTGATTGATTGCAACGGGCGTTTGACCATGCAGTCACAATGATGCCATATGATGGAAAATAAGATACTTCGGGGCTCCGCGATCGGATGACCTGAGACGGGGCCGGGCATTGCTCTACTAGGGTAACAACATCAACACCCTGCAGACTATTGCTACCGTATGAGTACCAACCTACGCACCGAGCTACGGCGTGATAGCGGATGGCTGGGACAAGAGCAAACTCTCTCGCCGGGGCTGCAGCGATACAAAGGTGGCAGAGCCAGTGTCAAGGACGGCCCTTGTCTCGCAGCAGAGGACATAGGGGGTAAGTCTTTGGCTCCAACTTACTGAGCGACCACCTGTACCCGGCATCCATTCTTCGAAAATGGCCCTTCAGGAGAGGAGGAGTCAACTACTATCAAGATAGGTAGCTAGCTACCTATAAGCGCTGATTCCCTGTTGTGTCATAACAGACGAACCGCCAGTTTACTTCAGTTCCGGACGAAGGGAAGACTGGGTTTATGGGACGCCTGCATAACATGTGAACTCCAAGATGACTGCGTGGGCCCTATTCGGAAACCTACCGATGGGTAAGAGTCATTGTCAGCAGACGTCCAACCATCCGAGGCGCTGTGATACTCGAAGGGTGTGTGAGGCAGATGTTGGATCATAGATAGCACGGTAGCATTGGCAACTATTTCTATTTAATGAAAATGAAAATGACAGTGGATGGTTTTATTGGTTAGACGGGTATGGACAGGCCTCTATAGAGACCGTTCGTCGGTTGCAACTACATGCTGGAGAGTTTGTGTACTGTACACACTATTCTCTTTGAGACGCAAACAACACATTGCACATTGCAAACACACTCCCTTGCCCTGCCCACTCCCGAGAGTCAATGCAACCCAATTGCCAGGCCCTTCCTCAAGCAAAGCCAGGGCCAAGTAGGCGACACGGTGGAAAGGTCAAGGCTGTTTGCTAGGTATACTTAAACGCTCCCCTTCCCCCTGCCGCTGGCTTTTTTGCCTCAAGTCCGAGACAATCCCACACAGCCCGGTGGGACCAACTGGGCCTCAAAAAGAAAGACTACTCCTCCCTTTTTCATCACTCTTTCTGACTTCTCTTCGCTGTCCGGGACGGTCGCAAACTCACTTCGGGGAACAGGCGAACTCATTGCTCGAAACTTGCTCGCACACACAGAAGGTATGTAGCCAAATCCGGCTCATCTACTGACTCAAGTTGACTGTGTCCTGTGAACGTTCTCTGGACCAGATGCTAATTGCACCTCGTTCCGTAAGCTCTACATTTCACTGATCAGCCACCCGTGACTCACCTATTCAGGATTATATTAGCGAGCGGAGGCCAACAGTTAGTGCAGACTTGTTTTCTCAACCAGGTCAATATCATTCCATAGACCTAGCTAACGTCTTCCTTGATATTCAGAGTCCGAATTTGCATATGCACGACAGCTCTTCTGATTTCATACTTCAGCCACCAAAGGACTATTGGGATCAGCCGTTTGTCCGCCCTCCAAAGCAGGTTGTTGCCACCGGCAAACCTAGTGGCTCATCCTATTCCCATATCACCCGATAAGATCGTCCTTGTATCGACCGACAAACGCAATCGGTACCAATCGAACGTTCCTACGACATATCAAAAAAAGATTTGAGCCTCCACACACCCCCAAAAGGTAGAGAAAAAGCAGGCAATGTGTCAAGAGGTCTACCTTTGCTTCCAGGCGTGCCCATGCCAGCTCAAGCACCGCCTGTATGAGTGCGAGTACGGTCGAGCCGACGCGCGGTGCCAGATGGTTAAGGTATCTGTGATGTAGAGCAACAGAGACTACTGTCACTGGCACCGACAGTGGCGAGAGAAACGAGTTGACCGGCTTGGAAGAGAGCAGCAACAGGCGCAATATCTCATGCTGCGCCGGCCTCACCAGCTCCGGCGCAATGCATATAAAGAGATTCCTATTGACCTCGACAAGTATGATGCAAAAGTGAAGACTGCCAGCGTAGACGGTCAATCGAACAACGTCCCTGCTACCAGCCGGCTTGGAAACATGCAATCTCAGGGGCGCGGACGTGCTGAGGTACCGGCTCGGCGACTTGCCACAGCATGCGCGGCCAACTTTGAGATTTTCGGCCACCATTATGTCGCAACCGCAGCACGTCCGGATCCGAGACTGTGATGTTAGTCTGATTAGCATCTCGTATTTTGCTGGTTCCCATAGCTACTACTATTTATGCAATGGCGTAACTTTTGATGCGACGTGGAACAGCGAGGTAAGTGAACAATCAAACACCGTGACGGTCAGCTCGACTTTAAACTTCGGTCTGACAGCCTCCCTGTTCCTAGGCATTTCTTTTTCGGATCTTGGGGGGGGGGGGGGATTTCGGTATTGCGGGAATCGTACAGCGAAGGGGATCGGCCACATCGGCCGATGAGGTATTTGGTCTTACACGCTCTGTGTAGTGACAGGATTCGGGGTGTAGGCTACAAAGACTGTACTGTCCCTAGCGGAATACATATTATACCCAGGAACGTAGCCACCTCAGTTGACAGCGAAATGCGAAATGAACCCGATGAGGCTACTTATTTCCTTGATAATGGATAATACTGCGAGATGGTTAGAAAGACGAAGTGAGGCGAACTTCCCCGTCCAGCACCGTATACATACATGCCTCTACCGGTAGGTATCTATTATGATAGGTACCTCAGAAGCTCAGTGTGTCAGTAATGCCGAGCGGAGCCGATCTGGGCATTACATTCATTGGAAGCGAGTGACTCCTCATGCTCGCCCTGTCCAGAGTCTGTATTGGCGGTTAGCTAAATATAAACTTGACATGGGACTGTCGGAGACTTTGTCCAGTCCAGGCCGTTCATGACATGGGAGAAGTCTTCGAGTTGTATCCGATTAGCGACAAGAGAACAGAGCGTGACCTCGTTCTGTTCGTTCTCTCTGAATGCGAACTACCTCGACACCGCATACCTAGGCGTACTCGTATTTCGTATGCTAGATATGCTAGGTAGGTAGATTTTGAAGCTGGCTAGGTTGTGTGTAACACAATCATTATGTAATCAGTATCCCCTATGTATTCCTATAGTACACAGTACGCTACTCCTCTTCCATTACTTCTACTTCTACAACATACAAGATCAATACAAAGAGAATACAAGAACACACACAATGATGTGATATTGTAAGTACCTACGTCGTTAACTGCATGACTCATGCAACGGATACTGTGCACTGGCAGGTGAGTCGTGACTGCAGTACCTTAGGTACATAACCAACTGTCGTCCGACGGCAAACGAGACGGGCGGCTTATCCGTGCGCTAGTCCCAATCCAGACCTTTAATGAGTCAGGTGATTTCGTGCCAGTCTCCCGTTTCGCCCCGACGCGAGGATCGACCTTTATCATCAGCCAAGCGTGTTTGCCTGAAGGTAACGGAGCCTTGCCTTGTATTAGCAATGCCTCCGACATGGGTCAGCCACTATATAATGAGGGGAGCCCCCCTCGAAATATCTCCGCTGCTTCTTCCCAAGTGAAGAGGGCTTTGATGGGCAGGTTGAATACGTTCTCTCATTGCATAGCAATCAGCTACTGATGTGGTCTGCTCGGTCGAGATCACTTTAGTTTTCTGTGTTTGTTGGACTATTTGCCATTTCCACGCCATTGCTTATTAGTAGCGTTTTGCCACCGGAGCATCTTTTGACGTCTTCGAACACCCGCTGTCCTGATAATCGGGGTTGTCGCTCACGCAAAGGCATATCCACGCCGCATACACACAGACAACACTTCGATATGCATGGCAACCGCCTCGATCAACTGTCAAACAATACCCTATTCAAGAGTCAGAAACCAATCAAATCGTATTCGCCCTTCAATAAAACTCATGGCGTTTCCAAGAGCCGACCTGACCCCCGCCGTCGTTTCACGGCGTCTGTGTCTCAACATATGGAGACGACCACGGCACCTGATACTAATAGGTACCGGATACTTGTATCCTTTTTTATTACTCTTCTCCCTACCTCCGTATTTTGACACTATCCATCTTACAGAAATCTGACCTCGTCCATCGTGACTCTCGTCATCGGCCGGGACCAGCGAATCTTTGCCGCACATCAAGACGTGCTTTGTGTATCGCCATGGTTTCAACAGGCGTTGTCGGATATATACCTCGATGCACCAAATGGCAAACGCATTCACCTGCCGGATGACGAACCAGAGATATTCTCGTCAGTCCTCGAGTACCTCTACAAGGGCGACTATTATCCTCGATTGGTCCACAACAAGCGTCGTAACTCGTGGGAGATCGAACGGCCCGACGAGGAGCGCGGTATTAGCAACGAAGCTACTATCTACCATCACGCTGTTGATGGCGACCTCCTTAAGGACACCGTCATCTATTGCACAGCCGAAAAGTATGGACTCGAAGAACTAAAGCGTGTTGCCCTGCAAAAGCAGGGTCTTCGTAAGTCGCCACCTATGCCTACCTCATAGCCTTGTCGTTTTCCCGAGCATTATGCTGACGATGGCGGTGAACAGAGTCTGGCATTCAATGTAGCGCTATATTGGCGTCAGCTCGCTATGCATATGCCAATACGCCCGATACTGACTCTAAACTACGAGCGCATTACCTCGCCCTTATCATTCGCAGCCGCAGCACCTTCAAGCGCAGCGGGACCATGCAGTTGGAGATGTTTAACGGCGGGACACAGCTTTTCTTTGATCTTTTCGTCGCCTTGTGTAATCATGTAGATGATATCTCTAGTGTCTCGTGAGTACTCCCGCTGCGTGGCCTGTCCTCAACTCCCCCCTCCTACTGACTTCGAATGAAAACTATACAGAAACACACCCCGGAGTAATCGCCACCTCTAGGCTTTCGCTCTAACTTCACGATTTTCCGCTTATCTTGGTTCTGGCCTTTTGACTCGCAGTTCTCCGTTTGTGGATATCTTCACCGATGTCCTCCATCAGATTGATGAGGAACTTAATGGTCTGTGGTATGCTGTTACGACAATCCCCTCTCTGGTCCGTTGCCATGAAGGAAATTTGACGAGCACTATCCATGGTTATCAGTTCAGTGTTTCGAGTCCCTTGGGCCGGGCCTCTCATTGATACAGATATCACATTGCGGCCTGTTACTCTTTCTCCTTACGAGTTTATCTTGTCCTTTCGACTCTCAGCGTTTTCTTCTTGATGCACTGCTTCAAAGTTATTTATGAATCTTGGTCCTCTCGAGCGTACTGTCTTGCCGCCGAGGGTACATATGAGATTATTAATGCAACGTTTCCTAGGTGTACTTGCTGGGAAGATTTTTGCGGTAATTTTGGAAGCCAATTGGAAACAAATATACGGGGCGGGGAGAGGCTACGAGCATTGGACCTTTGAATGATATGGAGGTATGCAGACTGCATAACTGGAAGATCTCCCGGCTTTCATTCTTGTTCTTGTTCCTAATCAGTTTTCTCTTTTACCGAGTGGCAGGGTTATGCGCCAAAGGAGAAAGGGCGAGGATTCCATGATGAAGAACATTGCCGCTCTCTTTAATGAAAGAGAGCTAGACACGAATTTGAGGAGACAAGACAGAATGCTTCATGGAACGTGATGGGTTGCCGTCCTTGTGTACACAGGTACTACCTTTGAACAAAACTCAGTCTTCGATTGATTTCCGCCTCGGTTGTGCTCGAGACTGTTAAGTGTTTATTTACCATGCTAATCGGCTCGCTGCATGGCGCGACCAGCGACAGCGAAATTACAAAGGCATTCAGGTGGTGCTGACCCTAGATACGATATACGACTGGTCTACAGTAGGTCACAGAAAGTGACACAGGCTCAAACTTGTTGCAAAAAAGACCACCTTTACGAATCAACACCGCGCGTGCAAATGACAATATAATACCCTCAAAAGCTGGGCGTGCATTGAATAATGGCCGGCAATTGCATGGATCCTCTTTTCAAGTCATATCTACATTGACGTGCCTCCATCGTGGCTTTTATTCGAGTCTAAAATTTGACTTGAAAGAACCGAGCGTCGCTTTCTGTGACCCACTGTACGTAATAGGTACCCCTCACGCTAAGTCTGCGTGGATATAATTAGCTCGACGAGTGGACAGGGTCGTGAACCAGCTAGACGTAGGATCGATAAAAGGACTTCCAGCTGGTGTATGTAATATCCGAACATCGGCTCAATGGTCTAGTGGTATGATTCTCGCTTTGGGTTCTTAGCTCGATTGCGAGAGGCCCCGGGTTCGAATCCCGGTTGGGCCCTGAACAGTTCTTTTTTTTTCCGAGTTCTCTCCAACCTCCCATCCCGACTTTCAACCCCATGGGAGGGGAGATTGTCATTTCCCCCCTCCCCCCCCTCCCCCCCCTCCCCCCCCATTACTCTCTCCCTTTTCTTACCCGATCAATTATGTGATAATCTAAGGAGCTTGGGGAAGGAGTGCGCTCCGGTCGCAAGGTCGTAAATTCCTAGCTAGGTACTAGTAGCTAGGCATGTATGCAGGTCCCGAGTTTGACAGTCGTTATCGGGGTTCATAATTACCGGGATTCCGATAAAACAGACCTGAGTTCAACCAGATTTATGAATCAACTCCCGAGAGAAGACCGACCAAGAAGACCGAACAGCTATTGAAGATCCCGCACTTGACGATTGTGTCATTATCGATTTCTAAAGGCTAGACAAATAGCTACCATACTTACCATTCAGTGGTGGTGCATGAACAGAGCGTGGGATGAATGACTCTGAAATACGCAATAGGTAAATGGACTATCATTTACCTACTGCAAGAGCGATGTGAGCTACCTGATAACATCCCTTTTATGCTCCTACGAGTCCTCACTGAGGCGACATCCTCAATAACCATGAACCCTGCCTGGTGAACGAGAGGTGACAACGTGTAGTACCTGGTGGAGCGCCGCTGTCTGAAAGCATCTTGGGATATCTGAAGAGATACTATGGACTCCGAGTGCATGCTACTGACGCGTTTACTGATACGATAATCACCCTAGAGAGATATTAGGTAGATCTGAGTAGATGGGAAAAGACCTAAAATCAAGCCCGGGTCACTGGTTACTAGAATTGTACTCATGTTAATGGTATGGAGGTCCGTATGTAGTGTACATCACACTACCTCTTCGCTTAGCCTGCATGTAGCATCGAGTTTGGATGGGTATTTATTTCGTCCTCGTTTATAGCTACTCTGTCTACGAAGAATGACACTAATGCTTTAATAGTATGATAACATGATCTCCCTGCGAGACCGACCATGACAATCTGTCTTACTATGTCTAATAATGACGACAAATGGGTATATACTGCCTCTGCTTGTCTGGGTCTTTGATCAGTTTGTCCTGTTTCTCTCGACTTATACTTTCGTGCCAGGGAAAGCACCAGATTTGCTCAAGACTACAACACCACGCTCGTGGGCAATATATCCCTTCATCAGATTCTGAGATAAGGTGTTAGTACAAGATGTCTCGTATGATGGGGCACTGACATTAGGAGATTAGGAGAAGAGCAGTGTCGGGGTATATCGGGAGGTGGTTTAGCCAAGGCTGTAGTGATCTTTGAATCGACTAGTTCCATGAAACGAAACGACGAGGGTAAGGGGGCCGTGATCGGAGAGGTTTCGGAAGAGATATGCAAGAAAGTGACGTGGCGCGTGCTGGACCACTGACTACATACCTTGTATATCATGTTAGCCATGAGGCATTCGACTTCATCCAGGTCGGTAGTCTCTCCACTGCTGATCTGTACGGCTGCCGTGAATTCAGTGATTGGAATTCTGGTCCTCCGTACAGGTTGCGCTCCGTCTTTAGCTTCCTCAAAGCCACCCGCTAAAAAGACCTTGCGTAATAAGTTACGCAAGACGATGTCACGTCCACGCTCCAGTGTCAGATATATGCGGCGCTTGATGAATTCGTCCTCACCATTGCGCAAAGCGATATCGAAAGCTCGTAGGTTGGCTTGTTTGACAGCACGAGCCAAGGGCAAGAACAGCTTCTGAAGACGCGGAAATGGCTCGAGTAACTCTGCACTAGGCAGGGTATGGGTTGTTAAAAGACGGCATGGAATCAGGTAGGTAAGTATAAGCCTGGGAGTTGTCAGCCTATGAGTACCTAACTAGACGAGGAGCGAAGGAATGCGGACTCAAGATTTCGTTGCGCATTCTCGTGGCACATCAGCCATGCCGTTTCCAGATGTTTCTCGGCCTTGGACCTTGTTAGGCATTCTGGTTACGACCGAGTATCTCCTAAAGCCGCGTACCTGTACATAATTCTCCTCTAGGAAAGATAGAACACCTTCATAGTACTTGAAGGTAACCTGCTGTGACTTGGGGAATTTATCGATAGGGGGCAAGTCGGACCGTCCTGCTGACATTGCTTTCAAAATATTCTTCGAGAGCGATTCGGAATTCAACTTGAAGTATGTCTTGAACAGAAGATTGACAGCGTAATAAACGCCCCATTTGCGGGATTCTTCCAAGGGAGCCCTAGCTCATATTAGTGAGAGTCTTGCACCATATCGGACCACACGAGCAATCACCTATCGGAGGCGCAAACTTGAAAGATCCTATTCAGATGCCTGGCGCAGTCCTCGAGACTTTTATGTGCTTCGATTTGCGGATCAAAATCGTCTTGAAGATTGTCAATGGTACTATCATCCGAACTGAATCCTCTCTCTGCATCCGCTCGCATGGCATAAAGTCTCAAGTATTTCCCGGTGACATAAAGACAGGGAATGGTCCAGTTTTCAAACTCATGATTTGTATACCCCCTGATAGTGAGTAATGTGACCTCTTTCCATGCGTCGTATACCTTGGCCCAGGACGACTATACCCAGTCAGCGGGAAAAGTTCCATGCTTACATATACAACATGTGGAATAGCTCTCAAAATACAAAGTAGACATAATTTGCAGATATTGTCTCTGGGGGCGGCGAACTTACCTGAGCGTCGCCTCGCAGGCCCTCCACGGCTAGTATTTCGCCCAAAGCTTTCCAGTATGCGGTGTAGATGGCATGCCAGCCGGTAGACTCGTCTTTAGATAGTCTGATATCGAGACGAGCTTGATCTTGATGGAAAAGGAAGTCGAGATCAGATGTCATAGACCGAACATCACCAACTCCCCAGATTGCTCGTAGCTTGGCCGAGTGTGCCTGTGTGTCCGGGTTCAGAGTTTCAGCCAATTGTTCACCGTTCGTAGTGGCATATGCCGAACGAAATTGATGGATCAAGCCATCCATGGCGGGATCAATTGTAGAACCTCAGTGGGTTAGCTAGAATCTGCCGAGTTGCCGTTTACTTTTGGATGCAAGTCCTGTGAAAGAATCATTGTCTTGTCGTCGCTGTTCTTGCTGTTGTCTGGGTATCGAGCAGGCACTCAGGTACCTAGCACTGTAAGTAGGTTTTCCGCCCGGAGCGCTACCCCACAGGCTCCACCCGGCTCCTTCAGGCTAGTGTACAGGTAGTCGCAACAGGCCCTGTTGTAACCTCGTGGTCAGTGTTGAATACCCGCAAATACGCAATTAGCACTGTTCAAGTTTGTACCCCACCACAATCCACTCATCCTTGTCCCTCAGCCACAGCTGACGCCACAAGAGGAGCACAACTTCTGCTAGGGCGGGAAACCCTTAGCACAGATTTTCGCAAAAAGTTCTCTAGCCGAAGACGTCTGCCCCAAAGCAGCCTCCACTGCACCGTACCTGATCGTCTGTCCTTCTACTAACCTCACGACAACAGGACCGAATTGAATTCACAGTAAGTTGCAACAGCGGTATTCGATGTCGTCTCAATTACTGACAGCCAACTTCCAGATGGGTAAGCGATTTTTTTCTCGTTCGATGATGCCATCGAAGTAGTTTGGAAATCAACGACAATAGCCTCGACGACCGCTTGTTACGAAGAACTGTTCGACAATTTCAGACCACGATATCCCCGAGCCGTAAGGTCACGCCAGGGCCCAAAACATTGGAGTCAGCAACTTGATCGGAGGTGTAGGAGCGCAGTACAGCACGAGACGAGTCTTGAAATCGAAGGGATTTGGGCGCTCTGTTAATAGCTTGGCATTTTTCTTTCCGCCTGCGCCTCGAGCCCGCGTCGCTAAATTTTTCGCATGGAGAGATACCCGAATTTCGGCCACTACGAACTACCATCGGAGACTATTTGCGTCTCACTGAATAGCAATTACTGACCAATTCCTACTAGGTCGCCTTCACGAGTATCAGGTCATCGGGCGCCACCTGCCCACCGAGGCTAACCCCACCCCGAAGCTGTACCGCATGCGCATCTTCGCCCCGAACGATGTCGTGGCGAAGTCTCGCTTCTGGTACTTCTTGATGAAGCTGAAGAAGGTCAAGAAGGCCAACGGTGAGATCGTCAGCTTGAACAAGGTACGTCTAAGCTATAGGCGGGATCAAAGTCGTGCGAAATAAGCTTCGAGACTGATGTGCTCGTGCTCTTTAGATCAGCGAGAAGCACCCTCTGCGCGTCAAGAACTTCGGTATCTGGATCCGATACGACTCGCGCTCCGGCACTCACAACATGTACAAGGAGTACCGTGAGCTCTCCAGAACAGATGCCGTCGAGGCCCTCTACTCCGACATGGCTGCCCGTCACCGTGCCCGTTTCCGGTCGATCCACGTACGAGTTCCTATGATAGTTGGCATGAGAATTGCCTCAACTAACACTGAAATTAGATTCTGCGTGTCGTCGAAATTGAGAAGACCGAGGACGTCAAGCGCGCTTACATCAAGCAGCTCATCACCAAGAACCTTTCTTTTCCTCTCCCCCACCGTGTTCCCCGTATCAGCACCAAGAAGGTTTTCAGTGCCACCCGCCCGTCTACGCTCGCATAAATTTAGGTGGATTCGTGTTCTGTGTGCGGTGGGATGTTTATGGGAAATGGTCTTTGCCCGGTGTTCACTACGGAATTGCGGAAAATTTCTTTCACGATTCAGCATAGGAGCTCTTCAAGAGGATAGAGCCCCAATCAATGAATGAAACCCCCAAAAAAACCCATAACTACAAACTGTTCTGGCTGCTTCGTGAATGAGTGGACCCGTGAAGTGGGATGTTTCTATCCGCGGTTCAAGTATTGTGCAATGGGCGCCTGTCTTTTCTACAACACACTGCTTCGAAGTGTGTTCGGCAAAACCGAAGTCGTGGATGACATGTACATATCGAATGAGTAGAAGCTGAACCGCCTCAGAGAACCCAGACATTCTCCGTGACGTCGAATTTGACTATGAGCTCGGGTCGTTCATC